CGCGGACTATTTAAACCTACACATCTGAGAAATCTAAAAGCTTAAGTTCCCCCAGCAACATTAAAACGTTCCTTTGCCCATATACTGTACATGCGTCACTTCTGGAGACCAGTCATGTTGTTAAACACATAATTTCTGCAACCATATTTTCTGTGGAAACGTTAATATTCAAATTTCCTGATCTCCATATGTTGCAGCATCAATGGAGCACAGAAGGCACCTTTACAAAAACAAACCAAAAAAAAGCCACATACTCTTAAATAAAACGTGGATGGTAAGCTGGGATGTAGCTAAGTCTGCAGTGGAGTAATTTTCTTCTAAGAACATTAATATCAATGCACTGGGGATACTACAAACCCTTCCACCCAGACACACACTCATTCAGTTGCTCGAAATCCTGAAAGGGCACGCTTGTCACTTGGATGGGCTGGCTGATTTATTACACTGAAAATAGACTGAGCCTGTCCAGGATGAAACATTTTCAATGTACAATACTTTAATTACAATTGTAAACAAACTTGCACAGAAAATTTTCAAGTGAATGAGAATTTGTAAACTCAAACCATGCAGCACAAGCTCCTTCACACTTGCTGACTCTTTTAATGACATTTTAGTCTTCTGCCTTTTGCAGCTAATCTGGCTCCTCCAAAGACAGCTGAGACTGTCTGTACAAAAGGTTGGGTTGGTAGAAAACCCGGAACTCGCAAGATCTGGTTGTGGATCACTCACAATTTTTGCTGGAAGGACCCTTAGCTGCTAAAAACAAACTCCAAATCCTAGTCAATGGAAAGACAACTGCAAAGTTGAGAGCTGTAAATAAAAGCCTATTCATTTAAGAAGGGAACATCACATTCTATTAAGAATGAATCATCTAAGCTGTGAATAACAATTATAACACTCACCTATTTAGTAATTCATGGAACAAAAACTATGATCTTTCTAATGTAAACATAACCTACTACGAAGTATTAAAGGATGACTAGGATTGTCATGACTTCAAGTATCCACGCTGGATGATGAATGATCAAGTAAACTAGATCTTTCATAGAATAAGATGGCAACATAATACATTAGATGCTTCAATAAGGCATACAAGAACACACAGAGAATTTATTTGTATGTTCTTCTCTAATAATAAACAGGCTTTCAGAACGATCCATTATCCAAAAAGGATCCCTCTACACAGGCAGACTGCTATACCATGCATAATATCTTTTGCAGATTTATAGCCATACCTGGATATCAGGGTAGACCTTCTAATATGCATCTACTCAAGCCAAACACGTCGTCGTAACTGGGACCTGAAGAGGTAGAAGGAAAAAATGCTTTCTGCTGTATGAAAACGTGTGTCTAACACCAAGAGGAAACAATGGTAATGACCTTAAAATACTGGTGTTTATTTGGGTTTTTCTTCCTGAAAATACTTTAAATTAATGACTGGGGTCAAGTAACGCCAAAGAGCAAATAACCAGACAAGAAAATACCCAAATAAAATGTCATCATCACATGAAGTCTCACATAGCTCATGTTGAAGCCTTATCGGTTCTGAAAACATAGGTACTGCAATTTTTGCAACTTTCTTTAAAAAACTCTTTTCGTCAGTTCTGACCCTTTGACATTAAGTATGGGAAAGGAATGAAAGCTGGCCAGTCACCTGGCACTAGCTTACGTTCCCAGCCACTATTCATCTGCAGAGGCCTGTTGAGCCTCCAAACACTGTGCAAGCTAACGCTTGCAAAACGCTTGCCAAAACTTGCAATCTACATTCGGAGGAGAAAGTTCTTTCTTAGAAGTCCTAAAAGTTAAGTACAAAGCAAAGCCAAGCACCTTCATGAAAGAAAACGAGATTTTTCATGGATGTGCTCTGGGTGTTTTTGAGCTTCAAACAATCGTGTGGTAAATATACGACACCCTTTGCATAAGCAGCACTGCTAAAAATTCACAGGCAGTTTAACCTTCTGAATGCCATGCCCTTCCTATAGCCAACTTTCTCTTTGCAGACGAGGCTCCAAATAAAACATCAAACTGTGCTATACTCCATCATGATAGTCTGTCCTCTACTGCTGATGCAAGGAACGCATGGAACTGTAAGATGAATTCTAAAACATATAGCAACAACATATCCTAGGTCTATTATCCTAGAGGTCTATTAAGACTTTCATTTATACACACAGGTATTTAGCTATGATGTACTAAAAACATATATACTTACAAACGTATCTGATGTGCGAACGTGCAATAACTTACAAAAGAATTGTGAGCGTCAAAAGCACTGAAAATGACAGAAATGGGGCCTGCAAAATTGCAGGGAATCAACACAGTTTTTCATCCTTTCCATTCCCCTATCACTTAGTGTGAGAAACCTACTTACAAATTACTGGAAAGCTAAAGATCTCAGCCGAGATTAAAAAGGAGAGTTATTTATCTATTCAGTGGCTGGATGCATTGTCCGTACGTATGCTCTGCTGTTAAGAGTACATCACTTTGGCTACTTCAGAACTGGAGCATTCTGGCCAGCATTGTCCTCTGAAGTTTGCATATGCTCCTCCCACGTGCCATGTGGATCACAGCAAGGATAGCGCAAGTCACACTGATCTTTCAGGTTCTGTGTCACAACAGAATAAATTTGCGACATTATACTAGTGGGATGGAGACAGATCACAGAAGGTACACGTGGACAACTCACCCCCAAACACTCTAGTTACCATACAGACAAAAACTTTCCTTTCTTCTTTGAGTGCCTGTCTACAAGCCACCCTCTTGGTGGCTCACAGACAGTGATCTGATGTGCAAGAGTAGATTCCCAGAGTTCAACTAAAAATAGATGGCAACAAAGCCCTGCCAAAAGAGGTGTTTGCTCTGCATCATTCAACCAGCAAATGGTGTTTGCAACAACTATGTGTGGAACCCCATATGGCTTGCTCTGCAGACATCAACAATGCAAACTCCTCTCAAGGAAGCAGCCAAATATGCTTGCTGCCTATTAAAACGGGAAGGGACCTAGTGAACCAAGTCCAGTCCCTTGCTACCACAGATAAACACAAAAATCCCTCATTATTGCTACCTAAAATAAGATCCTTTAAGATACTGCCTAAGATATAGCTTATCAGAGAGGCACTTTTCAAAGAAGTCTTGGCATGAACGTTCGTATCACGCTTGCTGAAGCAGCTGTCTCTAGGAAGGATGTCTTTATACATAAAAATTGCAGAAATGTGCTGTTACAGTTATGAACGCATAAGGCTAGGAAGTACTGTCATAAGCTGCCATGTAGTTATTTGGAACTAATGGAAAACCCCTTTTTAATCCCCTAAGGAACCTACATGTGAGATATTGAGGTAAAAATGGTCTTCCGCAAGAGGAAAGCAAACCTTATTAACTGCTAGTTACACCTTCAGAGAACTGACTAGAAATCCACGTCTTATCTCGGTAACCAATGATCTGAGTCCAAGTGAACTTGCTTTGTATTGAGTTATTTTTCCATACCTAAATTCCTATTTGTGGAGGATACTCTTCTACTCTGACGGAAAGTCTCCTTCAGATCTTCCCCCATTATTTATTATCTGGACAACAGGAGCTTTTGCAATCAATTTACGTGGGATGATTTGGGGCAAAGAACGACTCATTCGTTCACAGACATCAAGACGAGAATGACGGGGAAGACATGAGCCCACAGAAGTCCATAACGGCTTAAAGCAGCTTTAATGGAATTTAAAGCATCAGTTTTAATGGAATTTAGGCACTCAGGTCAAAGAATGTGATCTCAGAACCCTTGCTGCTTACCACGCTTGGAAATGCCAAAGACGCCAAGAGTTGGGACTCCTGCTTCACCTGCACAACGAGCACTATCTCCATGCTGGCATCTAAGACGATGCGGGATTCACAAACTGGGTAGCTTTGCTCCTGCTTCCCCAGGTGGGCTTGATTCCATGTGCATGCGTGGGTTGTCCTTACTGCTCATTGACAGCAGTGGGTTCAACTCTACTTAAGAAACTCCCCATGCCGAGCGTGCACAGCACACTAATACCCTGACAGAAACATACTACAACCCTGACGTTGACTTAAAAAAAACCCAGAACAGTGATGGTAACTGTGTAAACGAGAAAAAGACAAAGCATCTCAAGGTCACCTCTGTCTACAACTAGTCTTCAAAAACAAAAAAACTCCAAACCTGGCAGATAAAAAGAGCTTCGTTTTGATACCTATGACTACTTAAGAGAGAATTAAGACAAACGGGGAATGGCTTTTGCAGACGTAGAGGCTCGCTTACACGGAAAACTCTTGGCTTGACAAGCATCTACAGAGTCAACAAAAAGATAAAGGATGGTCCAGTGCACCAACCTGTCGGCTGGATGAATGCAAACACATCACTATCTCTTGCTGACCCTTTAATGAAAGCAGCGGGTGAGGGCCAGTCTCAGAATATAAGTGACCTAAGAAAAAGCTCACTCTTACATGGAAGTGAGCATATAGGTAATATGTTTGAAGAGACATGCTTTCACTGTAGTTGGTTATTCACTGGAATATGGTGTTGGCCGGTATTTTTAGATTCAGGTTATGCTAACAATCCTCACAGTTAGTACATCATTAAAAAGACAGAGTGATGTACTTTACTCTTTTATTACTAACAGTGATAGGTATGTTTGTAGCCTATTAGAAGATCGTCAAAGTAATTCAGAAACACTAATGATAAGGAAGCATTGATCCTTATTTTGCAGGTGAGGAACATATGCAGAAAGAGATTTGTGCGCTTTTTTGTGAATCACTTAAGCACTGTGACAGAATCAGAAACTGAACTTGAATTGCCTAACAGCCTATACCAGATCTGTATGAACAGCCTGCTGAAAGAGCATGCCAGACATGGGAAGCTCTCTGGTGAAGGGAACAGAAAAAAGCAATTTTCAATGCAATCCTCTTCCAATGAAGTCTAGCATCCGTATGCACCTCCCGCCCCAAAAGACAACAACAAAACCCAACACAACTCAAGAAAGCCCAGCACATACTGTATTTCCGCAGAGGTCTGTAGTCAGGCATGGCGATTCCTCTGTCGCTCCTCGCTTATGCCAGCTCTCCTTACATGGCAATCTGCCGCAGTTGGAAAACTTACTCCTTGTTACGTAATTCCAGACTTTGCTTGCAGCTCTGAGATTTCATTGTACATGTATCTGTGAGAAAGAAAGGAAGGAAGAGTGATTCTAAAGAAGTAGTTTCATGTACTTTATTTTTACTATTGTACACACAGTGTTCTGAGGTGTTTGGCACTAAGGGCACACTATATTAAAGTGACTGACTGATTGCATTTTAAAAATAGAAGTACTGTTCTGATACCAGGATCATTAAGACACAGCAGAAATTTAAACAGCTTTGAACCCGCATTCTACTGTGAATGTAAAGCATCCTTCCCCGTCCCCCCCTTGCCCACACTCTACGCACTAAGGGAGTTTTTTATAAAGAAAGCACATAAATGCCTCTAACTTCATTCTCCACACACAGTACCTGCCCATAGGAGCAGAGTAGCAATTCCAAGGTATCCTTTTAATTTCCACAGTGATTTTTAGTGTGCAGAAAGCAAACTATTACTCACTGCTACCCTCCCCCTCCTTTCTGAACAAAATTACGTATAGCATTTCATAAATATTGCACGTAACTTTACTGGTCGTTGCTCTATGGGAGAAGCTTAATTACAGCTCTTTTGAAGGCTCTTATTTTTAAATATCACATATATCCTAGATCCAATCTTGGCTACTAAGGGGGTTGCAGATAACAGGCAGCAGGAACGGCATAATTTGGGGGCCTGGCACCACGTGGGCAGGTTCTGGTTCAGAGCTGGGTTAGCGACAGCAGCTCCCGGGAGACCCTGCCAGCAGCGCTGTCGTGCCAGCGGGAAAGAACAGTTGATGGCATCTACCCAAGGTCAGCTCCTCCAATTCGGGAGCTGGGCTTCTTCCAGACGCTGGGAAGCCGCTTGTTTAAATGCAGCCAGTCGGCAACAATTAAGCATCTAAATAAAACATGCAGATTTTGTATTCCTTTTGAAATCGCCTCTGCGCCACGCTGTTTATTTGCCGTTTCTCACAGCCTTCATTATCCAACAATCGGCCTCAAAATGGCGGTCAGAGCGAGGCAGACATTTTGTAACTGTCTCATTAAAAGCTCAACGGAACAATGGAAAAGCACCGCACGAAAACAAGCAATTTGAGGAGCCAAAAGGAACGCGCAACACTACGACTACTGAGTTTTTAAGCCAACTCTTTATTCTGTAGTCAATGTAACATAAAGCCACACTGAGAAGCAACCGGACTGTTCTCTACCCCCGTCTGGGTATTACACGGTCCAGCGTTTCCCTTTCCGAACACTTTTACTTAAGTGAGCACAGCTCTTCACCTATCTCAGCGAAGGCGTTTGTGCGCCCTGTTCCCTGTGTGCCATATGGACTCGGGACCACCCAACGACAGTGACTCAGTCACTGTAATCTTAACCACATTCTTCCCTCAAAGTCCAGACACTAATGTTTTCTATTAGAGCTCCAGGAACTTGACAATTTTCAGCACAGTTTTTCAAGCACTTTCACCAAAACCAGCACATGAACATTTGAGGAATGGAATCTACCCCTATAGGTATCTAACACGTAACGAGCCAGGAAATCTGAAAGCAGAACAAAACCATATCGTAGCTGATGAAAGCATAAACCCTCAAGAATTCACAGGCCTTTTTTCTTTTTTTTTTTTAAATTAGGCACCTACCAGACCTGCTCCTAGAATTATTAGCAACTGATGCATCTTAAGAAGCAAATATGCAAATCTTCAGGAAAAACTGCAGAGCACATGCAACTCATTAAAGATTTAGGTACCTGCCAAACTTCAGGTTTAAAGATTCAGACATTTCTACACTATCCTCTCAGGAAAAAGGAAACAAAAAACACAACAAATTTTAACACAGAAAAACTATGTATTTGTCGCCCTCCTATAAACCAAAAATGGGGACTTTGGATGAGAGGATTTTGCTCACATTTATTTAACCTCACAAAAGGAGCAAGAAGGCTGGGTTAGTGCTCTATCTGAAAAAGGAGCTGCAATAGGAGTAAAAACACTCTGAAATTATATAATGAAAAAAATCAGCATTATTATTAATATATTTCTGTTTTTTGAAGATTTGTAATACATAATTTACACAAGTGAAACAGCTAGGGAATAACTACACGGGCATGCTGAAAACACAGACTTTGCTTATAGTTACACTGACATCAGGAGAGACGGGGCAAAAGCAAAGCAGTTTGGGTCCCATTCTTCTCTCCTCACACAGGCTCACACTCCAGCGTGGTGCTGGTACTCAATATTCAACAAGCCAGACCACGAGACACAGGCAAAGAACGGAGGTCAGTTGACTGGGAAGAAATGGCAGGCGCTCAAAGCCAAAAGCTGGATAACCTCGCATGCAGGTGGCCCAGGGAATCGGCTACCTGGAAACATTGTCTGGTAGCGCTTATTTTGAAATGTTATCTCTCGGTGGTAAATGGAGGAAAGCCGGTTTGCCCGACTGAATTGAAAGAAAGCAACTTCTGAGCCCTGAGAGACAGCAGGGCAAAACGTTCTCAGAAAGGCTAACATTTTAGCCTACAGTTTACATATGACTGTGACACACCTACCCCTAACACTACAGCTCTCTGTGTCTTTACACATGAGAAATTTCCAAGTTACAGTACCTTCCCATACAAGCTATTAAGAGATATAGTAAGAGATACAGCAAGTGAAAGGAGACCTGCAGTACATTTTAGGGACAGGAGGAGAAAATACTGCCATAGCGTGTACCCTCAGTGGAGCCAGAGCTGCCCAGGATGGACATCTGTGCTATGCCACGAACATGCGGCAGAGGTCCCACTCCAGTCCACGCTCCCACAAGCCCTCAGAGAAAAGTGTCTGACGAGCCCAGCTGCTACAACCCTTTAGCACTCTAGCAACGGCTGAGGCTTACAGCGCAGTATAGCCCTCTGCGTTTTATAGGAGATGTTATTTCCCTAAAACATTTGTTTTGTAGTGGTCCGTATCTCGTCAGTGGGGCTAGCGCGCTGCCAGACTGCAGTGACAACAGGTGGGTCAGCTCTTTCCGAACTTGAACAGCGCTGCCAAAATCAGGATGCCTGCCAAGCTTAACACACACTCTGTATGTTCAAAGGTTACGAACCATCTCTAAAACCATTGATTTAAAAGCTATGTTGATTACAGCTGCGCTTTGCTTTTGTTACAAAACCCCAAAATCGTGGAAGGATGTCTGGTTCCAAGTTTCATTACAAACTTGAAAACAGGCCAAAGTTCATGAAAAAGTTCCCTAAGGGTCGTAGTCTTTCAGAATTAAGCTAAGCCCAATCTGAGGCTGGAGGGAAAAGCTCCGAGTTAACACAAGGTTTCACACTGGAAGTGTGGGAAACTCGTGGTTTCACAAGATTTCCTTGCAAAGCCAGGTGAAGTTCAGCGGTTTCTGCGCTATTTCACAATGAGTGGCTGGGTTCCTTTGAACTCGAAACTCAAAGCAGGATCCAGCAGCTGCAAACTTGCACGGAGCAAGACAAGGATGAAAAAAAACGTTAGCATGAGCTCCTGGGAAATGCATGCACTGAATTTCACCTGCTGACGCTTCAAAAAACCAAAAATCTGCATATTCTGCTGTTTCAACTTTATTTGAAATACCAACACCGGGGATATATGGCACAGTCACGGCACAGTTTCATTACACTTTTGACTTACCTGCGTGAGGTACCCACAGACAGACTGCACAGCACTTGATAACATGGCTGTCGTCCACTGCTCTTCTTGCAACAACGCACATATATTACTAGAGATTAGGCAGTGCTATCCTCACTGGCAAAACCCGTGTATTGGGCTAAATCCCAGCCCCTTCTCTGGACCTGCCAAGGCTAAGCTGGCTTTTGACAGCTGAGAGGAAATGAAAGAGAAGTTGGTTCTAGTCCTTAAACTGGGAGAACTTGAATTAAAATGCAAAGCAATCACATGGGTTTAAGACTCGAAGCAGTATTTTTCTTCAAATGGCACTTTTCAGTCTGCTCTACAACTGCCAAGAGCAAGCTTTCAAGGCTCGTGGAAAAATGGCTTGGAGTTACCTTCAGCGCTTCTGTGAGGGGATATTATATTCGTTCACAACAGTGTGAATCTCCGTGCTATTCAGTGTCATTTAGCTAGTGGGTGCAGAACACCTTGAGCAAGCACAGTCTTCTGGTCACAGTAAAGAGGAGCTTGTAGGCAAGAAAGGGCAATCAGTGTGGAAGAACACCACTTGCATAGAAAACAGTGGTCAAGAGCCATATATACCCGATCAGTGCTAGTTTGCCTTACTTTAGGAATAATCATTTTCTACTGGGGACTTAAAATATTTTGAAGGCACTTTTCTTACTAGTACTGAAAGCAGGAAAGTCTACACCTAGGTTGAGGGAAAACAAAAAAAAGAACCTAAACATATAGGAGACAGAAGCTGAAAAAAGGACTGAATGTGGAAAAAAGTGAAAGGTAAAATGTAAAATACGAAAGGAAAATGAGAGACAATTACAGACTGATGAGAATAAAGATTAAAAGGCAATAGAGGAAAATGAGGAGAGAGGTTTAAAAATGATACTGAAAATGAGGTAATGGGGGTAAAATGGAAGACTAGGCATGTTAATTATAACATACGACATTTCTCTGACAAAGATTTTGTTTTAATTGCAGTAAATGTTTGGAGCAGTAAGGAAATATTAGTATTTTTTACCTTTAATTTTTTTTTTCAGCAGTTTTACCTACTGCTGAATCAGTAGAGAAAAAATACTAAATTTTGTCAGCATAGTCTTGGCCTTTCAGGTTCCCCTTCTCTGGTGAACTGTTCTATAACCACTTATAAATGCTGAAAATTATATGCAGATCCTAACCCCACATGCCTCCCCTTCAACCCAAACTGGTGTCCTCCAGCTATCCTCTCTAGTATAACAGAATTGTAGGAAAATTAACCATTTTTATAAAAGGGCTTCAAATAATTATCCTCAGTGACCTTCTTCAAAATTGTAAGGCCACCTCTGTCCCTAACGCTGTAGTTGCTGCCCATTTGATTGAGTCAACTTTTGGAGAAGAACGGCAGAAAAATATTTTGCAGACAATCACAAAGTACCATGTCTGGCTTTTTT